GTAAGTATCGATAATCTAACCATTCTATTCGATACACCTTTGTAATCTTGAAAGTAAGCGTTTCACAACCGTTTAGTAAAGTGAACATTTGAGTAGTAACGAAATAACAAATTAGCCCGTTTTCGATAAATTTCTCTTCTGCCCAATACAGTTATACAAATAGGTAGTGGGTATATCTCAGTTGCGGTACATTTGATCTATGTGAAGATTTGGTTGGTAGATAGAGTTGGCTTCCGTTAGTACACGGAAGCACAATCGTATCGATCCAATTCCGGACCATCTACTTTCAATGTGGGAGGAGTCAACATCCCGTCCCGCAGCATCACTTAGCACATTCAAGGTGTAAAGCGTATAGGTGAATATTCCAAAAATAAATCTGTCCCTGCTCTCCTAGTGAAAGCTGACTTTTCCTTGCAGCGTAATGATTTTTCAGGTCCCTTTTTGCGCGAAAAAACGAGTGGGACCTAATCCATGCGTCGACAAGGGTGGTTAGGTTCTGATTAGACGTACGATCGATGGCCGTTTGCCTAGTCCCAACAATGATCGGGGGAGAGAACACTATTCGAGAACAGCAGTCAGAACACATTATTGATCATGAGGTGCTGCGCTAATATAAGTGGATAAATTGGGCGTACGAGAACGACCTGGTGACGCACCAATCAGATTGCGGCCTTGACACTTCGATTGATCAATTGGGTGACAGCTACCTGATTCGCTTTAGTCATCCAATTCGGAATTGATACGCCTTGGGTATCGCAAGTGCACTTGCGGTGTGATGCGGATCCATGGACGGCTTGACGGGTTCTCTGCCATCCGCCCTAACAGTGGCTTGTACGGTCACGAATGAAAGCGTTCCAGTCCACACCTATGGATCTGCATTCCGAAACAGAGAACAGTACACTTATTTTTTGAGTACGGGCCGTCTTGCTCCCCACTGTTGAGAATATCACCGAATCTTGAATTCCGCGCATATCGTCTTCCACTGTTTTGATCTTGCATTTGTCTGTGGGCTGTAACGTTTATTTCGTTAGGAGGGGCCACTAAAACCTGTTCTTGTAACTCACAGTGAACATGCTCATTCAGTCGGGAACAGTTCGTGGTCACCTATTCGGTGTGAAACACTGTGATTTATAACTGTTATTCCGGTTTCCCCGAAAAACACGAAAACGACCGCCATTTATTCGTTTCTAAAATGTTTTTTGCATGTAATTTTCAGATCTGTCCATCAGATAGAAAAAGCTGATCAATAAATTTAAATAAACTTTCTAATAAATATTACTTTCATCAGGAATAAGGTGCTCCTTGTTAAATTCACTCAACTGTAAGCTGTAGAATAATAGAATGTTATGTCACCCATTTCGCAAGGTTGTGGCTGAAAATTTTCCGCATAAGTTGCGTATGACGTCAATGATCTTAAATAAGACCACAATCGGTCGTGCCAGCCGGTTGACGGACTGCCGAGAACACACTGTTTTGCTACGCNNNCTACGCTCGATTTTCTTTAATGTTTCGAAATCGAAAAAAGAAACTGTTCAGTGGAATTGTCAAAGACCACCACCACATCAGTTATACATTTCTGTGAAACTGATGCATCAAATGTTCATCACGGGACCACTGTTTGATCCCGTGACCAAACACGGGATACTCGTCTGTTCGATAAGCACAATTCAAACGAGATCGTGTAAGAAAGTGGACGTTTAATGAGGAAAGATGGTGAGTTCTTCTGAACGTTTTGATCGCATAAGGCACATGAAAATGAGGTGTTGAAACAAAACTTACCTCACCAGCACGTTTGTTTGGTGTTGGTCTAATTTACTTGTCTGAAATACGCATGTGAATGTTCTAGTGACGGCAGTGTTTGTAAAACCCCAGAAACACACAAGATACGCGTAGTGAAAAGTGACATTTCTTTGCACCCGCCCAGAGAAACACCCTAAGTCAAATAGATTACATTGCGAGATCAAAGGGTGTGTATGTGTGTGTGGCCCCTTGCAATTCGTGAATCCGGAAAACAACCCCCGCTCGTTTGTTTACATTTAAATAACTAGCCTTGGAGGAAATATCAACTCACATTACACAGAAGCGTTTCAGACAACTCATGTGACGGTTCTCTGTCATTCTGAATGAATACGTTTCGGCCTGAGTTCACTGCACACATACACACACACACAACATTAGGGTTCACATATCAAACCGGTTTGGTGCTTTCATCGAGGCACATTTCTTTCAATATTGTTCCGATTCTTGGCCATTAGTTCTTGAATGAATTTCCACGTCATCTAGTAACGAAAATCACATCATCTTCCGATACAAGTGTTTATCAGTTTCCTTGGTTTTTCAGTCAAATTGAGTTCAGTATTTCGTTCATTTCGCTCTCTACAGTGCAAGCAGTTAGTTGATCTGACCCTCAAGAACCAGGATTTTGAGTGACCCTCCAATGAAAATTTATTACTGAACAAATACAAGCTGTGCGAGAACTGGACGTTTCCGTCACACGTTCATCTGTCACACAGTCGTCCCTGTAGATCCTTAAGGTATAGGGTTTTCGGATCTTTGTGAGAATCACAGCCCTCATATATCAGATTAATTCGACCATTTTTCCGAACACACAACTCTCAATAATACGAAATCGAACTAACACGGATGGAGGAAAATAATACAAATCATTGATGAATTTCACATATTTCGGGTTTGACTTTCGTTTGGTCAAAGTTCATGACTGTCATAGAAAATGGGAACAGGAATAGGGAGTGAATCAGTGCGTGATGATCTTAGACGTAAATCTGTGATCACGGTGTGGGTCACTGTTCGTGCAATCAGTTCGAGATCTTGGTGTTTTTGCCGTGAAGTGAAAACCCACTAATGCCTGGGGAAACTAGAACGTCTTGGAACGGTATGAATGCACACAACAAACAGTGCGAGAAGTTGATTCTATCTTCACTTGAACACCAATGTCATCATCGTGTCACTTGTCCCGCCGTGGATAGGACACCTGAAGCCTTTACTAGTGATGTAACACCGCGCGGTAGATGTATGTTGAGCTATAAGCTCGAAGCAATCAGTATACAATCACCAATGGAGCAAACGCAGATCTCCTATGTCTTTATTTAAGATGTAGTTCAGTGGTAGGCTATTGGAACGGCATAAAACAACCCACATCAGTCACTTATCGATAAAATCTAATGATCCAAAAGCTTTTAATGAGACATGGATGAAAGGTCTTCTTTTCAGGGCTTGTGGGGTGGCTTTTGGTCTTGGTAGTCATCATCCATTAATTTTCACAAATCGTTCAAAGTGCATATCTTTTGGATGAAATTTTTGATTTGATCACTCCATCGATTGTTTGAACCGTGGCGATATCCAAAAAGACTGACCTATCGCGTAACCAACTCAGATTCTAGGTTTCAGTGGTTAGGGTATCTGCTACTCATGTCTATTTTCTTTGACAGACTTTGATTGCTATACATTTTCGCACTTTAGCACCATCATCAAACATAGCGCTGCTTGATGCACCCGGTACAAAACTGTCATCCTTTGTAGAATCACTGATAACTGAGTTATTCCTATCATTACATGTCTCATTCACTTACCTGCAGCTGTGATCAGGCTGCGAAAATAAGCGACAAGGATGATGAATGATGTAACAAGGATACGAAACTATGCGACGAAGCCTGGTAACAAGGGGGGAAGCTATAGATGGTGCAGTGTGGCCATCGGGATCGTAGATAGAATGCAATAGTAAATGTGGTAACTACCGAGAAAAATAAAGTTTCTGTTAGCTACTGAATGAGTTCAAATTTGATCTTGTTGTTCATGTGAAATACTGCTAATTCTTTCACCGTATCATTGTTAACCATCTTATCAAGCTAATCTATGCCTCAATGGAATTTACTCGCTAAGCTATTGTGGCCTTAGGCTGAATCCATTCATCCAGTGATTTATTCTAAAATTAATATCTACGCATGGTAGCCGATTTATCGATCCATTTTGATGTGATTCGCTTCCCTTCCCGACTGATCAAGACCAATTACCACCGGCTTTGTTCATTCCCTTTTAAAACTCACTCGATCAACGGTCAAGGACATAACGTTCTCGGGTTGGGGGACGAATAGTTAAATCTCACCCTACTCTCATCTTGCTTTGATAATTCATTCAAAAAGTACTTTTATTTGGCCACGGAGAACCCAAATCGTTCAGGCTAGACGGGATTTCGATAGACCCGGTCGAATCAGTGATATATGGCGACTGAAGCACCATTCCGTTCGTGTAGTTCCCATTAGAATGCAATTGGTTGGATTCACAGGAATTTGAAAAGGTATAGACGACTCTATCAGTACAGTGTAGTTGGAGAACAGTACTCGCGAAAGAACCTGTACGATTTATAATTTTGCACAGCACAGAGCTAGGAAGATTTTCACATTTTAGTAGAGATGGAGAAGAAACAACGCTACAGGGCTACCTCGTTTAATCCTATTGGAAACGATAAACGAAAATGACATATGACCATATATACCAGCCTGATCTGATTTGCGCGAATAAAGCATATAGTATATAGAATGGAAGAAAAGTGAGCAGAAACCTCATCAGCATTACGTATTTATCGACCCAACTTGGTAACTAACCCGGGACTTCACTGGTCGAACGCAAGCATACTAACCACAACCGTCCGGTGAGAAGCTGTTGAGTTGAAAGCACAGTGTTGGCCAAGTCTTCATGCGGAAGATATATCAATGAAAAAAAACTGTCACATCTTCAAGTTATTCAAAACATCAAGGAGAGCTGGTGAGTCTTCCTTTTTCTACTTCGCACGAACTGATTTGAATTCATCCGGCAGCAAATCGATATCTTCCGTCTGATTGAAAATGATAAAAACATTAAGTCATCTTTTGTACAAGATAGTTCACCTAATCACCTATTCAATCATCTCCATGAAAATGTCTACCAGGATAGGACCGAGTGGACTACCCAAAGCAGTCCGGTATACCTATTGAAAAGTACATTTTTAGTGGACAGTATAGTAAGAGATTTCAAAAGTATTGGAAGTATGATAGGGTTTTCTTGTGTAATGAATCCACAGGTGAGATCTACGAACTCGTGTGGAAGGTCAATTGCGAATTATGAGTTGGTGCCCAATAAACACATTGTTTTATCGGATAGATTCGAACGGGAAAATGTTAGAAAACTGAAAAGAGTGAAGTAGTGTGTGATTACCAAGGCGTTTGGATACTGGTCGAAGAAATTCCACTGGGTTGACTTGTGATGGGGCGAATTACACGTAGATAATACGAGACCTAAACGGACGATTGGTTTATGAAGCTTAGGTAACATAAATAGAATTGGTAAATGGTGACCCACAGGATTTTCATTTTTGTCTCAATGATGAAATCGTGTAAAATAATAATTTTTACTCCCCAAAGTTGACTGTTTTATTTTCTCTGCTTTTGAACCTGTAAAGATTGGTGTTGTATATATATATATATATATATCCTTATCTACCAATGGCACATTATTCGGGGCTGGGTCTGATTGGAAGTTGTGTACATCATCCAGAATTTTCATTATTTTTGTCATCGAATCATCTCTGTCCACGACGACCACTCCATGCCACTTACCAAGTTTTAACGCTACTAAATTTGCACTAACCCGTAGTTGTTTGAATACTTCATAATGATCCGAATGGTAGAACACATCGCTTACAAGGTGTGCGAATCCAAAATAGTCTGAACCACATTTCCTGACTGCAACACGTAGACCAACCTCAGAAATGGCATTACCACACACACAAGGGCATTGGAATATATTTTGTCGATAGTTCATCCTGGCCTCCAGACTTGAATGTAAACCCAACTATCTAGACAATAACCGGATATTCATAGTTCCAGGAATTTAATTCTCTCCCATATGTAACTCTTTCTCGAGTCTGCCAATTCTTTGTTCGTAGCTTTATTGGATTAGTTGAATTTTTCCCTTTGCGTGATTCTATTTACCCAGGACTCACAATGTCCAACCATTTGGCTTATAAACTACCGGATGATCCCCCCACCCACTTTCTGCATTTCGTATTATCGAAAAG